TGCCCCTGCCCCTGCCCCTGCCCCTGCCCCTGCCCCTGCCCCTGCCCGCGGGCCTAGGAGGAGCTCAGAATTCTTGTGTGCCCTGTTTTAAACTTGTATGGTTCTTTTCGAACAAATAAACGTATTCTAAACTGATATCCTTACGTACCTTACGTAAAATTTGGTCCAAAGTGGCCTTCCCATAATAACGGTCTTCATTCTAGTTTGAGATGCAAAGCAGGTTATAAATTTAAGAGTATATACTCTGGTAACCAAGCAACTGGGACTCAGCCAGTCCCAGGCAGAAGGCTGCCAAAGTATGCCCATAAAAGGCAAATGCTGAATTGCAATATTGAGGTAATTTTGTGTGTTTGCTGTGTTTCTACCTCTACCTACAGTTACCCACGGTAGAGGTGGGGCAGTCTGAACCATCTTTGGTATGCTGCTTGGTTCTGGATCCAGTTCCTTGCTAAAACTTTGATAAATTAATTTCAGGTCTTTGGTATGCTGCTTGGTTCTGGATCCAGTTCCTTGCTAAAACTTTGATAAATTAATTTCAGGTTGGTTGGTTGGTTTGTTTGTTTGTTTTTGACAGCAGAGTTGTCAAGATCCAATATAGACCTTCTAGTAACCCTTTGGACCATTAAAACAATATTTTCAGGTCCCTTGGAGCTCAAGTTCCACTGGCTTTAAACTCACCATATTTATTCTCAGCCAACTTTTACTGTCTTTTCCTTTTACTTAATTGGATTGATTACGTGGCCAGGCTCATTTTTAGCGGGGGTAGAATCAACTGTTTTTAGAGTAAAACTGGAATGTTCAAATAAGTGGATTGAATACACATAAGGGCCTGGAGCAGATACTTAAAAAAAAAAAAAAAATGGGAAGAAGTAATTATTTTACAAAAGCTCTTTCCAGTTCAAGAAGTCCAGGACTCTACTTTCTGGGATACCAGCTTAAGTCTATTTGGTACAATCATGAACCCAAACTATGGGAGGATGTAGGTTAATCTAAACAAACAGCTTGGAATGGCAGATGCCATTGTTTTCAAGGAAAAAAAAAAAAAAAAACGGTCAACGACTTTGAAAAATGAAGGGATGTAGCTCAGTAGAGCAGTTGTCCAGCATGCACAAGGCCCTGGCCTGGTTGGTTGGAATACCAATTTCATACCTAGTATCTGCTCCAGGCCCTTATGTGGATTCAATCCTCTTAAGTGTACATTCCAGTTTGACTCTTAAACACACTACAAAAACTAATTTTTTTCAAATTCCCTACCTAAACAATGTTATGTTTTTAATTAGGATGTAGAAGGATCTAAAAGAATCAAGCTATGAGCTGATAATGTTGCTCCATGGGTAAAAGTGCCTGCTGCAAAAGCCTAGCAACCTGACTTCACTCCCCAGAAGTCACCAAGAAAAGAATCAGGTCCACAGTTGCCCTCTAGCCTCCGCTCGTACCCAGGCACGCAGGGTCATACATGCTTACCATAGTAACAAATACAAATTGAAAGAGAAATCAAAAGTTGCTTCCTTAAAGTTTTCTTTGGAAAGACAATGAAAAATCTAAGCAGCAAACCCAGGACTTTAAACCCTGACCATTATTACCTTTAGCTTTACCTAAATACTCTGACTCTACTAACACTTTTATATAGCTGTCCCTTTGAAGACAGTCAAAAAAGAGGCAGACATGCCTTCACTTCTGGCCAACAAGGCCTGTGTGCATATGAGCTTTTCCCTTTGCTCTGAGGCAGAGCTTGCAGCCGTCACAGAATTTCCAAATCTAAAGAAAGCCTTTAAAAATGTACTAGGTGTTGCTAAAAGTCCTTCCCATGAGGACCTGTGAACACTTTCTATGCACTCCTACAGCCCTAAGGACAAACCAAAGTGTCATTCCACCGTAGTTCACTTGGGCAAACCACCGAGTTGATTAAGCTTACTCATAGAGCAGTGGGTGAAAGACTTGGGGAACACTGTAAAGTCTACACTCACCACACATGAAGATCCCAAACACACACACACCTTAGCTGTATGGGTGGAGGACCTTCTCTTCATCACCATATACTCTAGCCCTTCCCAGAAGGAACCCCCACTCAAGGTCACGTTCAGTTGAGGCAGAATTGCATACAACTGGTTGGGAAGGGTGGCTGGATATTCAGATGAAGGTCCCACGGCCCACCCTACTGACTCTCTTCAAGAGGCAATGCCAGCAATCAAACAGCCCACCTGTAATGATCTTTGGTAATACTCCCAGCTGGACTCCTGAAGATGGTGGCCATTTAGCTTGAAGGATGGTCCTGTACGACAGTAGATCCTTGTCTGCCCCTGAAGGATTGTGTTTAGCTTGAACTGAACATCTTCAGCAGGTGTGTAGTTCTGGGTGTCTGGAACAGCACTTTAGAGATATGAACACTAACCTTAAGGCTCTGAGACTGGACTATAATTCAAATGGTAAGAGTGGTGTTGAAGACTGAGGGGAGGGCTCAGCTGGTAACATGAGTTAATCCCCAGAACCCACATCAAGACAGCCATGTGGTGGGCTTATAATTGCAGCACTGGAGAGGTGGAGACAGGCACATCCCTAGGGCTTGCTGACTAGCTGTCTACCCAAATCCATAAAGCCCAGGTCCCAACGAGAATGTCATGGAAAATAAGATAGATTGTTCCTGAGGAATTGCACTTGAGGTTGAACTCTGGCTTCCATAGGCACGGGCAATTTATGCAGTCACATACTATAACATATACATACATACATACAAACTTGGAATCAGGCTGTGTGTGTGATGGCTCACACCTATAATCCTAGCACTTCATAGGTAAAGGCAAGAGGATTAGGAGTTAAAGATCATCTGCTACAAAGTTTGAGCCCAGCCTGGTCTACAGAGTTCCAGTACAGCCAAGGCTACACAGAGAAACCCTGTCTTGAAAAAACAAAAATAAACAAAACACCAATAGGACTGGTGAAATAGTTCAGTTGGTAAAGAACTTGCAGGCAATCACAAGGACTGAGAACCCATGTGAAAAGGCCAGGCACAGTGGCACACACTTGTTATCCCAGTGCTAAGGAAGTGAGACATGAGGATCCCTAGAAATGGACAGTCTAGCATACTTGCTCAGCTCCAGATAGGTTTTCATTCAAGCTGAATGCACATACATACACATGCAAAAAATCACACATGCACATGAAAAATATGTTTAACTAACTAAATAAAGCTACACAGAACCTTAAGTTGATATATGTGTTCAAGGCCAAATAAATTTTTATAAGAAAAAAAAATCAAGTGCAAAATTGTGAGATATAAAACCTGACTATCTAACAATAGTTGTAACTGACATTTTCTTGGCAAACAGCTGTTACCTTAAGAAGGTACCCCTTAAGAAAGTACCACTGAGTGGGGCAACAGTGGTGTACACCTTTAAGCTAAGCACTTGAGAGGCAGAGGCACAGGCAAGGGCAGTCTGATCTCTGTAAATTCAAGGCCAGCCTGGTCTACAGAGTGAGTTCTAGGATAGGATAGGCTACACAGAGAAACCCTGTCTCGAAAAACCAAAAAAAAAAAAAAAAAAAAAAAAAAAGGAAGGAAGAAAAAGAAAGATTTACCGAATTTACCAGTTCTTAAGGCAACAGAACTATGTCACCTATATTTTTGAACTGACATGAAATAGTCATTCTTAAAGAGAATAATAGTAATGTAGAACTTTATTCATAGTTTGCCACCAGCCTTTGAATATTATAGAGGCTTTTAAGTGTATCAGGTAAATTATACCATGTTGTTTTGAATGAACAGTATTTCTTCAAAGATACAGTTACCAAGAAATGTAAAGGCACTGGGATACAAGAACTGAACTTAAGGCTAGGAACTGTTCTTAACACTGTAGTTTCATATTGTTGGCAGTACAGGTCTGATAGCCCTGCAGAACAAGAAGCAAATTCAAACACCTGTGAACTGGATTGACCTTTCCAGACTGAGTCTAACCACAACTCTGCCACTCTTCTTGGTTCTTGCATCCTTACCTCTCCTCACTGATAAACAACTAGGTAAACAACAAAAATCATCCATGGTGAAGCAACTTTGAACCACTAGCCGGTTCAGTGGGTTGCAAGGCCACAGATGTTCTTAGTTCCCGCTGGGTTGAAACCTGAGGAAGGGGAAGTTGGTGGGCTGGTAGAGAACGGTAAAAATACATCAATCTTCAGCATATTTTAAATCTTGGCACGCTGCAGCACATTGGAGTCTTTCTTATATCTGAGTGCTTGGGAATAACTGTTTGCTGATCTTTTTTTTTTTATTAACCTTCCTTTCTCTCCCCTCCTCCCCTGAGACAGGGTTTCTCTGTGTAGCCTTGGCTATCCTGGACTCACTTTGTAGACCAGGCTGGCCTTGGACTCACAGAGATCCATCAGCCTCTGGCCTCTGGAGTGCTGGGATTACAGGTGTGTGACACCAAGCCTGGCTTTCCATTCTCACTCTACAAAGAAAGAAATTGAGTTTAAGGAAAGAACATGAGTGAGAATTAAGCCAGGCCAGGCTCCTCTCTCCTGGGCCTCTGCAATCGTTTTTCAATGTTCTTTCTCAACAGCCTTACCATCTAGATTCTACCCATTG